CCTTAAGAAATAAATGGTAAGTTCACTTTAGAATGGCACAGAATTAATTACTGCACCTAATATATGTATACATAGAAGATTCCTGCAGAACTTTCTAGAATAAACGACAAACAACGAAAATCCTTCACGTTTTGAAAATTATTTTCCCTAAAAACGAGAATAGGAATTTGTTTCTAGATTCGTCGAGGCTGCGTCTGACAATAAAGACAATAAAAGCACGGAACGTGTCCGCGAAGAGTTCACCAGTTCTTCAGCTCAGTGAGCGCGGTGTCGCTTGAATACCGCGAATCGTCATCCCGACCTACGGCTTGGGGAGGGGTGGGTGGGGGGGGGGGTGGGAGGGGTTGGTGAAAAAAGGTAAAAACGGGGGCAAAATGGAATGAGAGAGGAAGCAAAAGCGAAGAGGTAAAAAAACTTCGTCGCCTCCCGAATCCTCTTGTCGAACGGTATTCGAGCGTATCGCGGGGCGTCAAAAGTCCTCGGCAAAGGGTTGCGGTGCTCGGCGCGCTCAGAGGAAGCGTTCCTCGAAGAGGGACCGCACAAACGAGACAAGTGAGTCCCGACTCTGTGAGAGAAGTCAAGAGAGTGGGAGAGAGGAAAAGAGAGCGAGGGTCGTGCATCGGGGCGTGGACGAGGAGTCTCCGGAGACCCGCGGAGGCACTAAAAAAATCAAGGAGAGGAGCTTAATGAGCGGGTAGCGGGCGAGAAATAATAACGTGACGAGGTTTATATACAAAAAGAGGAAATAGAGGACCGCGGCGGGGAGGACGGACGAGCGGAAATCAACGACGGAGGCCGCGTTGTCGCGCTTCGTATTTTCTGTTTCCGTGAAATGCGGCCTCGATAAATTGGGAGCGACGCTCGACGTCGCCTCGACGAGACGTTCCGTTGCGTTTCGCACCGGGAACACTGGAAATAGAGAGAACGACGGGATTGCCATCGTCGAGGGCCCTTGTCGATTTTCAGCCGACTGCGCCTATCTCGCGAACATCGCGTTTGAATATTGAAACGTTCATTGGGATAGTTGGTACGAGTCCATCTTCGCGAAGAATGTTTCTGCAGGAATGTTTAACACTTTTAGCGTACGGCTCGGGTAATGTATTTATTTGTCTGGTTTGTTCGCTGTGTTTATTGCGTCACAATAAAACAGAGTACAGTTGAAAGAAGGAGAGAAATGAGCGCGATATGCTATGTTTGTACGTAATTAAATATTTATCGGAGAAACACATTTTTCATTGCTTTTGCTCTCTGAATTTCATTCGAATACATTTTCAATTGGAAATATTTATCATATATACGGTCGATTTAGAACTTAACTGCATTTTGTTTATTAGAATGACGTGTCACGTCGTTACTAAGCGTCCGTTTACGTTTCGCTGGGAGGGTCTTCTTGTGCAACGGAATGCGATAAAAATCAGAAGCAGTTGCATCAGCGAGGAAAGTCATAACTAGAGTGCGTACGTTTATGCATTTGTGGCGAGTGAAAATGCGGGGAAATGTACGAGGATAATGAATGTAAAAATATGTAAAATATCAACAGTGAAGTATATGTATAATTTATTTAAATCCCAATTCCTTAATTTTATTCATAGCCATACCATAAAATGAAACGAATAAACACTTTGATACCTTTGGAATCCTGTCACATCCTTACTTTGTACAGACAAATATTGAAACATACCTCGAACTGTTGGCTTCGCCATCCCTTTCAATTGTATTATTAAATATTTGAACAACATTTCACTGAATAATAATCACTAAAAAATAAGATGCTGTTTCTAGTCACCCAGCAAATTGAGATGTATAGAAACACTGCTTTAAAAGTATTAGACCATCCAACGAATTCGTGTCTGTGTTTATTATCATTTATTCTAAATGTAAATATAGAAAAATACACGAAAATAAACAAAAACGTTACAACATTTAACTAACAAGACATACTTTAATCTACGTAATCTCTGTTCTTTATGCGCGCGTACAAAAATATAAATTTACATAAATATCCGCGGTCTTGCAATTACACTACCTGCTGACAATGTATTAATAAAGCGCAGGAAGAGCAGCCTTCTCACATTTTCTTCTCACGTTGGAAACAATGCCGAGAGGATCGTGTGGTATCGTCGAGCGATAAAACGAAAACGCGTCGTTCCGTTCGCATTCAGGGACCGTTCGTTCTCCAGCCCGATCAGGCGTGATCGAGAGAGGCGACCGAAGAGATTCCTAGATCTTCCACATGCGATGTCAGGCCCAGGGCCGCTGTCCTCTGACCGGTTCGTGGGATCGAGACGTCGATAACGCGAATGATCGATGCCGTGCATCGGGCGACAGCGGCGCAGACCCACTCCTCGTTGACAGTGGTACGGTGTCGATCCTCGGCAACGTCTCATTTACTTCGTTAAACGCATCGTGACTTCTTCGTGGTTCCCTCGGCCGTGGGCAACGGTCCAACGTGTCCTCCGTGCGGATCGTTTGTTAAACGAGGGGTCGCCTTCCGGTATTTTTGGATATTCTTGGAATATTCACTCTGACTGCTTTCTTCGGACTCACGGATCTTCCGATAATTCGAAATTTCAACCCTCGACGGGAATTTGCGGATGGCTAGGGCCTGAGTCATTCGATATCCATAGAGAAGTCTTCAGACTGGGCTCTTCGCGGATCTAACAGAATTATTTCCAAAGTTAAAATTCGTTAAATCGGCCAACCACGGATCTTTCAGAAGTTCGAGATTTTAATTCTCGAATGGTGGATCCGCTGATAGCTAGAGCTTGGATCCTTTGAGACCCATATGAATTCCGTTGGTTCTACTCGTGGATCTTCTAGTGATATTTTACTTCGGCGTATAATTGTAAATATGTACCTAGTTCCGAAGTAATAAATATAGTTTATCTTTTCCACCGTTTCCTTTCATTTAGCATACCTTTGTACCCAACTATTCCCCCACCTATGAATACAAATGTATCTACAAGTCTGGATCTCACCGAAACTTTGACCAGGTTAATCTGAATTAGTCGCAACACGATTTCTCTTGACCTTCGTCCTGTCCCACCTTGGCTCGCGATTTTTATCGATTCAGAAATGCAACGAACAATCACCATTAAAAATCACATCGCGCCGCTTACTCACCGGCTGGCACAATGCAACTGCTCGCGTAGGTATTATGTGCATCGTCCCGCCTTGCATTCCAGTTTTTTGTATTTCCGTTATCCGTCTCCGGGCTGCACTTTCCTACCACAAATAATTAATATCCTCCCGGTTATCAAAGAATCGAATTCGCGTTCCTTCACGTCGCCAACTGAAATCCTCCGTCGCTACGCGTACGCTGATAAGAAACTCCTTGCGGGCACGACGTTATCGTTCGCGTTCCCCACGTTTCCGTAACTCAGGAAGCAGTTTGTAAACGCTGAAGATTTACCGAACCTCCGCGGCTTTAAACTCGGCTATTACACAATACGGAAACTATTATTCCTCAGGCGGCATCGATCATTGTCCCCCGGTGGCGAAAGGAATAAACGGTGCCACGTAGGAGGCTCTCCTAATAAATTAGATTCGTTCTGTGTTAAAGATACATAACAAACATGGAGGATATAGCGACAAGAAAATGAATGACGCGTGCTCCGACTAGGAGACGATAGGTGAATTTATTCATAGGACTCCCAGGTACAGTCAAACAAGAGAATTCGAACCTGAAGATTGTGATTTAAATGAAACTTTGCGTCGAATGTAAAGCATATTCAAGTTTCCAGCAGTTTCCTTTCGAATAAAAATCGAAATTAAAATAAAAAATCATGTTTCCTATTAGAATACCCCCTCGAGCGATAGAAGATCGCTGGAATTGTTGCCACTATAATAGCACTCCCGATCGTTACTGATATCAGCCGAAACAAATATTTAATGTAATATTTACATTAATAACGTGGCTCGATTAATTTAATAAGCCCACAATCACTTGAAAAAAGATGGCCTCCGCGTCAGAGAAGCTAACGAGAAGTTTCCTTTTCCCGCGTACGTTAAATAGAAATTGCACGCCGCGCTGAACCAGCTTCGTTTTAATTTGAATTGCCGTTAGCAGCATAATTTTAATTTTAATTTTAACGTTCACCCCTCGGGATGCACCGTGCACTCATCGGTTCCCGTAACAGGGTCGTTAAATTGCTGCCAACCTTGTAAACCACATCCTCCAACCTGTCACGTGCATTTAGTGCAAAACACTCGTCTCTGTACTTCGGTGACGCATATTTTATATTTTTTTTTTTGGACGGTAGATGAGTGTCTTCCGGAGTCGCACCGTTTAACGATTTTTCAAATTTCGTTTTAACGCTTCGCTGTGTTTAAAAAAAGTATTTGTTTCGATTTTCCACGCTTTTTAACGTATCTCATTTAGAACGTGTGACAAATTTTACCGTGTCTATTTTTCCAATTTGACTCGATACCGTTCTTTGAAACGTAACGTTGTTTTTATACGAAAATCAAGCAAAACATAAACTTAAATAACTTTCAGCGTATCAAAAAAGAAATTTAATTAATAATGTTAAGGTTATTATTAGATGTATTAATAATAGATCGATCGTGCAAGTATTTATTTATTAAAAATCGTTAGTCTCGTCAGGAAAGCTGGCCAAAAATTCTTACCTCGGACTCATGTTGTCATTTAAATTGTTTCCCATTGCGGAGAATTCGGAACAAACTTCTTCAACGAGGAAAGATATAATGCTTCGATATAGTGATTTAGTGCTTTAGTGGTCCAAGCTATAATTACAGAAGCAAGATTCTAATTTAATAAAAAGAAACTAAAAAATAATTATAGAAAGAGAAAACTCGTTGAAAGATTCTCCTACATTATCATGTGTTAGCATCAAAGAAATTGTCGTGAAATTTTCAAGTTTACTCTAACGTCAATAATACATCCAGCAATAAAATATGAACTTTTCAATGACATCGATAAGGATGCTTCACGAAGAAGGAGGAATAAAGGGTTGCGAAAGAAATAATCGACAGAGACAGCGTGTATATTGTCAAAATATATTCAATGAAAAAATCATCTTGTAAAATTAGACAATCGTTCCATTCGTTACAAGGATATTAATAATAGGAGTGATAATAATAATAATTCGTCGTCATCATTATTACCTTGCCTAACAGAACCGCTACCGAATGCAATTATAATCCCTACAACCTATAGCGGTGCCTTAAGAGACTCGAGGAACGTCCTTTATTTACAACAATTACGTGAAATACGCCAAGGATTCGCGATCGGGCGCGACTCGATCCGCCGTTACTTATACCTTCCGCTCCCTCTGGGTTCGCCACATCTTCGTCTTTTATTTTCATTTCTGTTTTTTTTTTTTTTTTTTGAGCAATAATTATAATTACACATCGTTCTCGGGCTCGACGCGCCCGAATTTATTTATAAATAATATATTTATATATATATATATTTATATTTATATATTTATACTTACTCGACGTTAAAACCCAACGTTTCGCGCGACACGAACCACCGCCAGAGCACGATATTTTGAATTAACAATTTCAATGACTCTCCGTCGACGAACGCCCGCACTTCAACGGCTCGGAACGAGTAATAATTTGTCGAGATGCACGGGACCGAATTAATCGAATCGAACCACTCGATCGGGCTTTTGTCGTTTAAGTCATCTAACGATGATGATAATAATAATAATAATAATATATATTATTACGTTCATACATATATATGTATTTATATATATATATATATTTTTTCATTTATTTATATTATTACGTAATGCGACCGAAAGTATTACATGTCCCCCTCTACTCCCTACCCTCCCTTCGGAAACGTTGGATTTTCACACAGCACTGGTAAAGTTCGTAACCCTTAACTAGGCTTACCTCAGAACGCTTATAACCAATAAATAGACATCGACAACTAATTACAAACGTTTTCGAGCGATGCGACGTCGAAACGCACTCGCCGAAGTGTGTATCGCGTGTACGTATGCGCGACCGTATGTTTCTCGCGTACGCGTAATCACACGGCGAAGCCTGCTACGAAGTCGGCGATTCGACGGAAAAGGCGCAAGTACACGTTCGAACATAACAACGCTGATCACACCGTGACGGCTGAAATAAATACAACGCTTTCTATTCATTCAACTAATCGATCCTCCGTTACGGTACAATCGCCGCTTAGTCGACGTGTCCTCCGTTCTTCAGCTTATCCGATCGGGGGAGACGAAGGTCGATCGCAATCGTTAATCCTGAGGCAAGTCGCTCATGACGTCGAATCAACATCAACTGGCCGCTCGAGAGCGGTGAAGGACAGACCCCCACCACGGCGTCTGCTTACCCCCACCGCGTCGCTTCACTGCCCCCCACTCTCGTGGTGCAAACCTACGAACGCACGCTTTCTGACTTTTGCAGTAGCATTGTTATCCAACACAATTGTGAATGATATCAAGGTCTTCGATCGTTCTTGATATCCCATTTCCTGTAATTTGTGGAGTTTAACTCATCGAGCACCGGAAACTCCATTTATAATAGGTGACGACATTGCGTGTACCAATCTGTTGAGCGATTTTGACGAGCGCTTATAGGCGCCAATAGGAGTTTAAGGATTAATAATGTCCATTATGACGGTACTCCTCGATACAGGTTCCACAATTATGCAAAAATTACTCGACGTTAATCACGCTCCCTTTACATATGATACTAAATACTTCTTCGCTGAGGAATCGTTCTTCCAGCACTCAGTTATAGGATTCTCGGCTGGAATTCTAGTGGATGTAGAACTTTTAATAGGATTTCTTTCCTAGAGGTTGGTAACCTTCCCTAGTTGAATCTGTATTAGACTAAGCAGAGTTGAGAAATTGATATCTGGAAGGTGTTGCGAATCGAAGGCCTGTGGTTGAGCAGAAATTACACGACACGATCCATATTTCCCTTATACAAGGGATTACAATTCCTATCACTCAGGAAACACCTTTTCAGCTCTCAGCTATAAGATCCAGCTTGCAGCTATAGATTCCTGGACCTGTGAACCACTAGCGAATGTAGGACACCTAACTACCGTTCCCTTTCAAAGAGAAGCGACCGTCCGTAACCAAATCCGAACTAAATGTTGCGAAGCTACATATAAAGCTGATTTCAAAGTAGTCGCGGATCGTATATGATCAGACGCGCTAGTCAGCCTTCGAACGCCAGCGTCTGAGCAAAAGTTACTCGGCTACATCCACTTTCCTCGTAACCCGCGAATCATCTTTCGAGTTTTCAGCCATAGACTCCTTAGCTGGTTCTCTAGTGGTCACAGGATTCCTAGCTAAAGTACCATCCTATAGAGATAGGATCTTGCCAATTGAGTTTGATCCGACTATGTTTTTGTTTGTTCTATACTGTTTATTCGTAAGACAGTGACTCGTTGATAAAGTAACAAGTTGAAATGAAAAGTTAGTCACGGGTAAAAGTCAAGACTCAAGGTCCCGCAAATGAAAGATTCGATTTGGGAGTCTCCCTGCCAGTAGTCCTGTCGAGGAAATCTCTGCCATTTACTCCTCTATTAGGCTGTTCAAATGCGACAGTATGTGACGGACACGTAAGACTAGGGTACTTCTACAACCTTTTTATTTACGTAAGTCGATTCTTTCACTTCCCAGGAACATGGACCATCGTACCCAGTTCCAATGCGACAAACCGAAGCATCGGTAGCCTCGGTTAAAACAACAGCTTCGAGTCACTCTGTCTTCCCAAACTATCCTTCTCGCTGGATATCTCCAGTCCCTGCGATCGTTCCTCTTTCGCGGATCAACCAACTCCCCCGAGCGCGATGGGAACGCCATCTTGGTTCGTTCGTGCGCGACAAAATAAATTATTCACAGCGTCGCGGCGCTCCCGTCCAGCAACGAAAACCGCGGATTCGTCGAAAAGAGTCCCACGTCTCTGTCCCTGGCGTCCAGCTCGCGGATCCTGGACTCGTAGAACATCGACGCGTCCATTTGCGAGTCTCGTTCGATCGGTTTGGCCTGAAAACGGGATTTCGGGGATCACGCGCAGTCCAGGGACGCCAAGGACGCAGGGCTGTGCGGTCCACCTAGCATGAACGGAGGACTCATCGGCGGACCGCCGCTTCCGGTGCTGTTCCCGTAAAGCTCAAGGTCGCCAAGGGAACCGCCGTCCACGCCGCCGTCGCACTTGTCCGACTTGCCCTCCTGCTTCAGCACCATGCGCCGCCATTTTGCGCGGGCGTTCTGGAACCAGACCTGCGAACATAGAGAGAGAAAGAGGCGACAGGTGAGTGGCGAGCTTTTTCACGTTCGCTTGAAGGGTGATCGAGGGATGGTCGTACAGAGAGTCTGGGAACCACGAGAGTCGTGAAACAGGCATGTTTTGAGAGGAGTCCTTTTTTTGGAAACTTTTTGCAACGGTTTGAGTTAGGTCGGACCGTGCAATGTCTGTCTGTCGGGGTGTCTGGGGGATGGATATTTTTGGAGAATATTTTTGAAATTACCTCGAGTGGATTGGATGTTGTTAATCTCAGTTTTGAAGGACTTTTTTATTCGTAGATGGAAATGCCTTTATGTGAGGTGGTTCGCCAGTCGGTGTCATTTTAATTTACGTCGATATTATCATACATAGCGAAAAATGTTTCGATTACAGTTGAATGGTTTCGAGTCAGACGCATTGTGATGGTATTGGTTCCTTTGCAGGTGGACGCGTGGAGAACATACGAAGGTCACCTACAGGTGTTTTAGACAAGATTATCTTGTTAATGTTGTAATGATTTGACTTAGAGTAAAGGATTGATACGACGACCGTTTACATCACATTTTCTGAATCGAGAAAGATTAGGTAATGTATCTGGTGATCTTTTATAGGATTCATCGATGACACGATCATGCCCACGAGTTCGAACATGATTGCTCCGCTTCGATAAATAGGTTTTTCCCTCCATCCATCCTGGACAAAATCACAAATACGATGGTGCATTGACGTTAATGGCCGGTAGTGTATATTTCTGAAAACTATCCTTTGAGAAACCAGCAAAAGTTTATTCCAGGCTGAAACAGCCCCTTAATATGGCGAACAAAGTCGTGGGATAAAATAAAAGGTATAGATCAATCCATCCGTATCCTGAACTCTCCGAAGTCGGCTACCACGGTACCGCTCTTCTGGCTGGAGAAAAAAAAGGCATCACCCCTGTCTCGCATTATCCTAAACGGCGCGTCATTACACCTGACGCCCGAGGAGAAACGCGGCGACCGAGACAAAAGGGAAGGACACTCGGAGGAACGAGGACCAAAAAGCTCGCGCGCCTCGTATATATCTTCATCGAGAGGGCTTACACGACGTGGTGGAACGGGCGATGGGAGGAGGCGGGGGAGAGTAATTTAAATGCAACAGCACGCGCGCACCAGCACGTCAAGCGACGGGCCTGGGCCCTGCTAGGATAGCTACATCGTCCATACAATGAAACAATATATAATGCGACGACGCATACTCCACCTCCCCCTCTTTCTACGTCGTCTCCCTCGCCAGGTTCTCTACCCCTTGTGTTCTCGATAGATAAAAGACGGCCTCGATGCACGGGATCCGCGTCGCCATTTTCAAGATAGTCTCCTCCCCCGCGGACTGAAAACCAGGAGAGAGACTTCCAACCGACACAACGCGGGCCTCCCCTTCGTGGCCGAAGCGTACGAGTGTTTCTCTCTGCGGTGCTCTCGCGATAGACGTGCGCGTGTGTACATCCGTTAGGTCTGCGTGTGTACGCCTGTTAGGTGTGTACAGCAGCGAGTGTGTGGATGGTTGGCCGTGTACGGTTGCACACAGAGTCGAGAGAGGAGACGGCGACGAACGCAGCCGCGGCGAATGAACGAGTATTCGTGCGTTTCGCGATCAATATCAAGCAAGATGGCGACCAAGAACCCTACGCCGCACCGAATACAATAGGCTGGCTCTCTCTCTCTCTCTCTCTCTCTCTCTCTCTCTCTCTCTCTCTCTC